ATTAGGTTTTAATTTATATAATTCAATAAATTCTTGCATGAAATTTATATTTAAATACAATGGTATTTCATAAGGCAAATCTGACACCAAAATATAGTTTATAAGGTTGAAACATTCGTCGAAGGTTACAACATGGCCATTAGATCGTCGTCTGGAAGATCTGGAACATCCGTAAAATGGTCAATCCATGAAACTGATCCATGAGTTCCACGGTTTTTTTTTTTCGAAAACACGTGGAACTGTGATATAAGAAATAATTTGGAGTCATAACATAAACATGAACCCGAATGAACGGAAGATCCGTTAAAGTGGTGCATCGTTGATACTGATTCTAGAACTTCGCGGTTTTCTCGGGAACACTTCGAAGTGTGATTTTTCGAAGAAAAAAAATTACGGTTTATTCACAGTTTCATGTATGAAACACTTTTACGGATGTTTCGGATCTTCCAAATAATGGTCCAATGGCCAGCCAGGTTCATGTTTATGTCACGAGCCCAAATTTATTGTTATAACGCAGTTCCTGATATTTTTTGAAATAAACTGCGGAGCCCTATGATCAGTTTCATGGATTTACCACTTTTAAGGATGTTTCGGATTTTCCGGTGGATGGTCCTATGGCCATCCAGGTCCAGGTTTTTGTCATGATCCCAAACTCTTTCTTATATCACAGTTCCAAATGTTTTTGAAAAAAAACCGCGGAGCTCTAGGATCAGTTTCGTGTATTGACCAATTTTATGGATGTTCCGAACTACCCGAGGACCGTTCCGTTGTCTCCAGGATCCATATATAAGAACCATGACTCTATTCTGGCTATTTATGAACATTTGTGCCCATTAATCTAATTTATGGATCTTAGGCCACTTGCAAAACCCAGAAGCACATCTTTAAAAAACGTGTAACGACTCTTTTCGCTTTTGAATAATTTGCACGTTGGACGGTTTGACCTCGGACTTGTTCGCTGCAGCGTGAACATCGCAGCATTCCTAGCAGCCCAATACATACACCTCAGAATGATGATTGCGCTTGGCGCTAATTTACGGAATACCATTTTAATGGCATGTTTTCGATTGAATTTAAAAATATTATAACCTACCTACTTGAACACAGGAACCTACCTAACTAATTGAACTAGGTTGCCAAATCACGAATGATCTGGTTAACATTTCCATCGTGGAAGCCTTTCGCTCCTCGAGTGGTGAATCTCAGAATTACGAATTCGCGTTTTGGATCCTCTGAAGCTTTAGGTGGTGGCACTTAGCACAACTCTCCCAGATTGGCATGCCATACTCAATAGCAATGAGAAGGTAGAGCGACCTGATCAAGATGTTACACTTGGTGGATGTCTTGTCCACATGGGATCGGAATAGCAATTTGCTATCGAGGGTGAGACCATGGTAGACTTCACTCGACCATTCAATGGGAGTGCTATCAAAATGGATCTTGACATTAGCAGGTGGAACAAGCCAAGGTGAATTCGAATATGTAAACAGAATGGTCGGACAGAACATCCAGGCCTGATTGTAGTTTACTTGCCAGAGCACGGATCACTCGACCCTTATAGATGATGGAGGTGTCATCTGCGAACATTGACACGATACCACCACCCGGCAGAGGAGGAACGTCTGACGTGAAAATGTTGAATACGATAGGCCCATGCAGGCTACCCTGAGGGACCCCTGCATCAACGTTGAACGTGTCAGAGGGGACATTGTTCAAGTAGACCTGGAATGATCTGCCCGACAAGAAGTTTTTGATGATCTTCACGAGGTAGATCGGAAAGTTGTATCGATGCAGCTTGTACACTAGGCCATCATGTCAGACATTGTCGAACGACTTCTCGACTTCCAACAATACCAGATGTACTGGAAACGGACTTGTTCTGCTTGATGATGTTAGTAACCCATGCGATGGTAGAGTGGACTTTCCTAAACCCGAATTGCCCTTTGAAAAAGATGTTATTATCATTTGAAAACAGCAGCAGACGGATGAGTATCAACTTTTTGAAAAACTTCGAGATGGAGGACAAGAGCCTGATGGGGCGATATCTTTTGGCACTGTAGGGTCTTTGTCAGGCTTGTGAATTGGAATGACTTTGGCTAACTTTCAGCATGCAGGGAAGTAGCCAAGCACCAAAAACTTATTGAAGACCGCTGCAAGGTGCAACTTGAGTTTGTCCACTCCACTGACACCGAGTCAGCTTGATGATATTTTGTCGAAGGTCTGCTACCGACCCATCCCTGATGTTGATTTGTCTGGGCAGTAAGCCGCAATGATGGTGATGGGGCCAAGCGATGTGCCGACTTCAACCGATAATTTTGAGATGAAAGTTCGGCAGCTGGTGGCAGTTGATGTTACGCCTCACAGCAACGGCTACTCCCTCTCCTCTTGCACTGGTTCTGTCGAGTCTCAAGAGCGGAAAGTCCGATAGGTAGATGTTGACTTCCGGTTTTAGATGGGTTTCGGTGATGATTTCCTTGGCGTTAAGGAAGTCAAGCAGTTCGATATGCTTGTTCTTCAGCGAACAAGCGTTCCAATTTGCAATCTTTATAACTTCACGGTCCATACTTAGTAACAAGAGACAGGGCAACATGAAGCTAGTCAGGCCGAGTCTTGCAGGTGCGCAGGATGATGATGACCTCTGCCACGAGTGTCACAAGTTCCTCCGATGTAAATGGGGAATCGTCGACGGACTCACCTGACACAGCACTGGCATACGATAAACCAAGGGCAGTGGAGGGACCTTGATTCGGCTGGGCCGCTGCAGCAGTGAGGCGAGCTGGGCTGATTGTCGGCTGGGGGCCGCTTGCTCTGTTGGAGAATACCCAGCGGGGGTGCTAAGGGCTCGTTGATTGTTGAGGGGACTGGATTGCAGGGTACTGAGCATCAGTGATTGCCGGGGGCGCACGATTATTGCAGTGGTGACCGGTCTGGTTGCCTGTTGCCGTCTTTTGGCGATTATGAATGAATTCCGCTCGCTTGGGGCAGTCGCGGTTTCCACCGCAGTTGGCACACTTTGGCTCGTTGTCAGCAGCTTGACCACAGGACGCTGTTGCGTGGGTACCTCCACACTTGTCGCAGCGTGGCTTCATATGGCAATGTTTCGTGCCGTGGCCGTAAGAGATGCAGTTCACGCACTGCGTTACTTCACGGTGTTGAGGTCTGTACGACTGCCAAGGGATGATAACCTCGAACAGATCTCGGATGTTGTCCTTCAGCCCTTCATTAAGTAGCTGATGTTCGGCAAGGGTTGCCGATTCATCGCATACACTGCCTGGTTGTAGACCAAGGCGCTCCAGCTCAGCATTCACAAAGGCTGCCTCGAATGACGGAAAACCTCGCAAAACAACCTTCAGCAGCTTCAGAGATGGCAAATCATGGGTTTTAAAAATCCACCTTGTTGTCCTTTAGGAAACTTCCGATCGCCTAGTACTACTCCAGCCTGAAGCACATAATTTTTGTTCCGACGCTGCAGAGCTTGAACCGAGGCTGTAGGCTGTGATCTGTTAACACAGTCCTAAGCTGGTCGACATCCTTCGTCGAAGTTTAGAGTGGGGGAATCCGCTCCTTTTTTTATGATGGCAACAGCGTCACCACCACTTCCATTGACTTCCTCTAACACTACGAAGAAGGGCCGAACGCAGACCGGAGCGTCAAAGAACGACGCTGAAAACCGTGTGCTACAAAGCAACTACAACTACTGCTGATGCGCTACTTCCCTTAGCTCAGTCGGTAAAGGCACAGGTGACTGGGCTCGATTCTCGGTCCGGTCTAGGAATTTTTTGGGTTGGACAACTTCTCGACTTCCCTGGGCATAGAAGTATGATTGTTCCACACAATTATACCAATGCAAAAATGGTACAGGCATCGAAAGCTCTCAATTAATAACTGTGGAAGTGCATATAGAACACTAAGTTGAGAGCACGCTAAAACCTAATATGTCATACGCAATAAGCTTGAAATGCGAGGAAGAAGAAGATGATGCGCTAGTACGCTGACGTATCATCTGTTTTTGGCGAGTTGGACCAGACTGGCCAGAGCGAAAAAAAACGAAGTACTAAAACCGAACAACTCAAGAAGGCGAGCGGGAATCCGAACCGAACTGAACATCTTGATGGCTAACCCTAATAAAATAGTTATTATTTTGCTTAACGACATGTTCTGGGTATAATCCAAAACATTTGTGGAATCGTTCAATCATTTGGGTTATCATTCGTGTATGGTACTTTTTTATTAGGGAAGCAGAGCATGGTTAATACAGCTAACAGCAGATCTGACTTTATTTCAAATCAAAATGAGTAATCGTCCAGAATGAATTTAAAGGGTGAAGGGTGCTTTGGGCTCTTGAGTAAGAAAGCTTATAAAATTTCAGCCTGTCAATTAATTCTACATCCGTATAATCACCGAAACATTCTCTCGCTTCGATTGCTAGGTGTTAGCGATGGTTCTAGTCAACGTTATTTACCCTACTGATCATAACAAAAAAAAAATTAAAAACTTTTAAATGTTATTATACAAATGCTTGATGTTAAAATTACGCTTTGAAATATGCACTCAAAAGCCATTTCAGCCACTTCAATGTATATTTTGTCCAACACAAGGAAATGACACGACATGCATCTCCCCAGGCAATAGCATGGCAAACAAATAATCTTCCTGGAATTTCGTTCCATTGTCACACATTACATTGTCTAGCCCTAGGTAGTTTAGTAGTTGATATTACATTTCCAGTTGTATGCACTTTCATAAACGAAAATCTGAAAGCGCGTTGGGCCATGACACTGGCAGAAGCGAAAAGAAAACAGTTCGCTTAATTAACTTTCTTTTTTTCTTCTCTTCATTCTACGCGTTCATTTACACCCACCGGACGACACCGACGACAACGATGACCGCCGTTGCTCTGCTCGGAATTCTTCTCCATGAAACCCGGAACGGAAATTTAATTAAACTTCCAACAACGGCGCGTTCACCCACATCCGAATTCCGTCGCAACACTGGTCCAGGTGGCACATCGACGCGCCAATCGAAGGGCTGGCGAGCGGAGCACAAAGCAGCTCGGACGCTCGGTATCATCATGGGAGTGTTCCTGCTCTGCTGGTTGCCATTTTTCCTCTGGTGAGTAGCCAATTTTCCAATCTCCTAATTGCGCAACGAAAAATCGAAAGCACAATGAGTCCAAATTCTTCATTTCTTCCGTCCTCCCGTTAGGTACGTCATCACAACCCTGTGCGGCGAAGAGGCGTGCCCCTGTCCGGACGTGGTCATAACGGTGCTCTTCTGGATCGGCTACTTCAACTCGACGCTCAATCCGCTCATCTACGCTTACTTCAACCGGGACTTTCGGGAAGCGTTCCGGAACACGCTGCAATCGCTGCTGCCCTGCTTCGGCAAGAAGGACCCCTTCGACGGGCACAGCGCCTACTATGTGTAGTATTAAGGGTGTGCTGGCCCCCCGTTCCCACCACCTTAGGATTAAGACCGGTAAAATTGTTTCTCGACTTCTCTTGGTTCACGGTTTGCGTGGGAGGATGCAGCAAAGCGGGAAGTGGGTTGGTGGACTGAACATTTTCCCCCCTCCCAACCTTTGGCTAGCTCCGGGCGTAATTTTACTTTAATCCTTGTTTTTGTTTGTTCATTTCGGTGCAGAGGAGATTTCGGTGGCTCGACAGTTTGAAACTCAATTCCATTAGATGGACGAGGATTTACGACTAAAGCTGCCGGGCGGTGACTGGGGAGGGCTGGAGCTTGGTAATGGAATTTGAGTGTGGTGCACTTTGATTGAGTGTTGTTTATCGGATTATGTTTCTGTTTTTTTTTTGTTATTGTTTAAAGAGAGGGAGAAATTTTTGTTACCCAAACCGAAAACCAAATCGTAAACGGATTTGATTGGATACAATTAATTGCTTTGAAATGGTGCTGGTTGCAGCCAAATATTAGCTAGAAAAAACTACCCTATGGGGTTGTACGCAATGGCGACGTAGGACTACTGTTAACTGGAGCAGGAGCTTGTGTTTAGTGTAGGAATAGGAATTTGAGCGGGGTTCTCTCTGTTTATACTCTTTAGTATGACGCGCTTGACAAAGATGGCCCACAGCAACTCACGAAGAGCTACTGATTCCGATCAATAGCGCTGCGGCTTCTTCCTCCTTCTATGGATGGTCATGTGGACTGCAGCTCACTGCTTGCAGGCAACCTTTCGTTGTGTACCGGAGAACACCGTTTGGTGAGATCGGATGAAATTCAACTTTGAAATCTGTGTAAGGGGAAATCGCTTTTTGCAGTCAATCGGTGATAATTTTAATTATCATAGCAACAGTTGCACATTCGTCCAATTTTCAACAATAACATTTTGAAAAATGATAAAATCTTAATTTTACCAGATTCGTAGAAAAAAAATCCTATCGATTGGCATATTAAGAATTAAAATACATCATCTCTGGATCAAAATCAGACCACTTTCATGCAGCGACCGACTTTGGTTTTTAAAATCACACCCCACTGCCTTCAAGTTCATAGTATGTTAGATTTAGACATATCTATATACAGCTGGAAGTAGGCGTAACAGCTTTTGTAAACAATTATTTCTCTCGATGATTTTTAGGTATTCAAGGAATGCCCACACAAACCAACATTAACGTCGTGTAGAGGAAGTCTTACCCTACCTGATGGTGATGTTGATTTGTGTGGACGAGTCTTGACTTTCAAGACATCATCGAAAGAAGTCCTTGTTTACAAAAGCTGTTACGCCCTTATTCCAGCTCTATATTGATATGGGAACTGACATCCGATTGATGACCTTGACAAATGTCCAAAAAATACTCTTTTTCAAATTTATGGTGGTCATGAAAAGGATCGTTTTGTCGTGATGGTTGAGTAGTGCTGAGCTATTAGGGTGTTAAACACAGATGAGGCTGGTGAGCTGTATGTTGTTTGGAATGAGGGTGACGCCCTTGGCATAGATGTCCCACAGCGACTTACGAAGATTCCGATCAATAGCGGTGCGGCTTCTTCCTCCTTTTATGGATGTTTGTGTGGGCTGCTGCAGCTCGCCGCTTGCAGGCAGCCTGTGTACTGGAGAACAATGTTCAACGCCACGCGCTGAAAGCACTGCTGCTGCTGCTGCTGATGCCGACGACTAGACACCACCACACACGGTTATTGGAACTGAACCCGATCAGCGGTTGAGGTCAGCATTGATAGCTAGCTGCTTTCGGGGAGCCTTTCGTTGTGTACTGGAGAACACCACCACTCACCACGCGGTGATTGAATAAACATTGTTTGGTGAACCCGATGGAATTCCACTTTGAAATCTGTGTTAAGGAAATCGCTTTTCGCAGGCAATCTGGGATAATTTTAATAATCATAGCAACAGTTGCGCGTTCGTGCAATTTTCAATAATAACGTTTTGAAAAAAATGATAAAGTCTTAAATTAAACAGATGCGTTGAAATATTTCTGATCGATTGGTGATAAAATTATTGAAATTGGTCGAGGGTTAGCTGAGTTATTAACGTTAAAAATCTTTCATAATATTGTCACATGTTCCAATTTTGGTTTTCACAAAGTGTACCTCCATATAGAAATCACTACGTCAAAAATACCCGTCAACTACGATCCTCACAGTAGTCTAAAAATTCATGGCATGAGCAATAATACCGTGGATCATGACTCATCATCATCATTGTCCCACATATGGGTACAGCCAGCCATCAAGGGTTCAATGAGCTAAAGAGTGAAGTTGAGGATGGCTATAATTTACCGGAGTTGATCGACCACTTTTATCGTCGTCATTTTTTCATACCATTTTCCGCATGCCATCCCAAACGAAAACCTTCCCTCTTTAGATCGCGGGTACAAGTTGAGTGTTAACGCAATGTGGACGAAAGCGGAACGGAAACGGACACTTTGACAGTTGTCACAAATTACATCAAGAAGCCTAGCCGATGTTGATTTGGTTCTAACTAGTTTTCAATCCGACAAGTAGGCTTACTCAGATCGGGCTTTTCCGCTTCCGCTGTCATTACGCTTGGGCCTAAAACCACACATTGTAACATGCCTTTACCTGTTGGAGACTAAATTTAGGTACCTGTTTAGGTAAAATGTGACATGGCAGTGGATACCTGCTGATGTTTAGTATCTATTTATTTGTGTATAAATCGTAGATAAAAGATGAATTCTTCAATGGTGTTGAGTATTTGGCAGTTATGAGATGGATAATAACTAGGTAGGTCATGACTTTTCATACACACATTTCCTGACAGTTGGTGAAAGGTCTTTTTGAATTAAAGCTGCTGCACGGGTAAATTGAACATTGATTAGCTGCGTCGTGGGTGATTTGCCCATAATTAATATCGGCGGATTTTCACATTTCTGGCGATCCTGCCAGGAGACAAACCTGGAATCTTGGAGACCCCCGAAAGGTAATAAAGAGCAAATCACCCACCTTCAAGGAAAATTGAAAATTTGAACGCGACGGATTTGCAAAAATCGTCTCCTCGCCGTAGCAAAACCATAGGAGAGAACGTGACCGGGACGGCCGTTCTGAGAAAACGAGTGAGGACGGATTCGCAATAAAAATGAAACGGCTCCTCGTGGTGGCACGGCCACAGGATAAGAACGCGACTATCCGTACGTGGCCCGCAATGACACCACGTTCATTGGCCGTAAGATGAAATACGTAGTACATTACTCGAGCCATGCCAGACAGACGAGTGAGGACTACCTTACTCTGACCCAGCGGGTTCAGCGCCAGATCAGACGACTGAAAGAGCGGCTCTCGCAGGCTCGCATAGACCTGGAACAGCGTGATTCTGAAATTCTAAGGCTTACCAAATAGGTTGTTAAGCTGCGGCTCTTCAAGGCATCGCTCAGTTCCCCGGAGGAACGTTCAAACTCCAGTGACCCCGTAACGGTGCGGGAGAAGACCACCAACGATGCCATCTCGCTCAGTTTCCGGCATTTTCTGCACAATCATGGCATCCACCAGGTGCAGTTCATGGACAAGATGTCCACCTCGGAGATGCATAGCTCGTTTGCCGATTCGGGACATTTCGAGGACATTACGACCAAGTCGATCCATTCCAAGGATTCGTACGTACACACGCAGGATCGTGCTTGCGGAAGCGACGATGACATTGATGCTGAGAAGCAGCGGCTTGTAACTTGTATAACTTTTATACCGAAGGAGAGGGAAGATATGAGATGGATAATAACTGGGTCATGACTTTTCATACACACATTTTCTGACAGTTGGTGAGAAGTCATTTTGGATTCAAGCTGCTGCACGGGTAAATTGAACATTGATTAGCTGCGTCGTGGGTGATTTGCCCATAATTAATATCGGTGGATTTCCACAGCACTGATAAAGTATGTAAGTAGTAAACGAAATACGCGTATTTGTTTGTTTGTTTGTTTGTTTATTGTCCAGTAGCGTAAGATACATATCTTTTCAAACTACTACCTCCGGTTTAGCAATGGATACAAATATAAAAAATATTACTAATTAAATTAATCATTACTACCTAGCCTATTCAATTTATGAAACTCTCTAATTCATTTGGGACCAAAAATTGATGCAGCCACTCTTGAAAATTGCTTCCGACGAAGAGCGCTTTACTGCGGGTGGTAACGAGTTGTAGTTTACCACACCTCGAAAGAACAGTGAACTGGCGTTACCTGCGGTGTTGTTAGCTGGTATTACTAGGTTCTGCAAGCGACGACCTCGAGCTAGGATGAGTCTATCATGAAGTAAAGCTGGGGACTGTGTTGAATGCAGTTTTCTCAGGAAAATGCAGGAGCGATATGCGTAGAAGTTTTGTAACGAACATCCAATGAGGTTCTATTGCAGGTGACTCACATGGTCGTGCGGCTCAATCCATAGACATATCTCACACAGCAGTTTAGCGCCACACGTAATCGGTCGAAGCAGCTTGCACTAGGGCGAATATGTAGAACATCGCCGAACAAGAAATGTGGTAGGATCAAGGATTTGAAGAGTTTCAATCTGGTCTCAGTCGGCGCGGTGGAGGTACAGCAGTATAGCGAGCGAAGACAAGCATAGATCTTTCCACACTGTTGCGTTATCAGGCCATCCCACTGCAGATAACTTTGGGAGATGAACTCGCACTTTCCGACCATCCGATGCTTTGACCGTCCATCACAATTCTCGGTACGGGTGGAACAAAGCCGCTGGCTCTGCGACGCCGAGTTTTGATGAACATCGCCTTACTCTTTGCTGTATTCACGTGAAGGTCGTTTCGCCGCGACCAATCCGCAACTCGTTCGAAATCTGCATTCACCATCCTGACGTAAAGTTCCACATCATCGGCAAAAATCTGAATATAACAGAACTGCAGCACCGTCTGTAGGTCGTTAATATGGCAGCCGAAAAGCAGAGGACCAAGGACTGAGCCTTGAGGTACGCCGGACGGCGATCATCACATAATACCGTCTGCCTTCTGGAGAAGTCCAGAAGTAGCAGTATACCAGCACCAGTTTTTGTATCGACGATGGCACTCGAAGAACCGCAGTTTTGATGCTCTGGCCTCCACGGAAACCAGCCTGACAGTCAGTCATCAGGTTG